ACTCAATCATAACGATATTTACTAGGTCTTTAAAACCACAATTCCGATCAACCAACACCAGTGATACATGCGATCCACAAATCAATCAAACGTGCACCGAGCCCATTTCTGCAACTTTTCACAGGAAAATGTAAGTTACAAAAATGTTTTGCAGTTCACGATTAATGAAGGTCACATATGTGCATTACAGGCCTTATAATGCAGTACTGCATATAAAACTACCTTCAAAAATCTTCACAGCATGAAATTAGACAGGTCACTGTATCTGATTGTAAGTTACATAAATAAGACCGCTGGTCACAATTATTTTGTAAATAATCTTCAATACAATGATTCAGCTACAATTCACATTTTCGGATAAATTGAATCATATCACATAAAATAATTGTTCACATCACGTGACAGTAACCAATTAAACGACTTATTGTTACAATTACAAATACCATTCACAACGAATCAAAGTCACAGACATTAATATTTAGAAAGAAAGCATAACTTACAAATTAGATTTTGAAAATCAGCTACATTCACTACCGATGTGTAATTGTCTGTATGAGAAATTGTGAAAATGTGAGTTGCCCGATTCTAATGTGTAATCATCTACCAATTGCGATACGATGCCGATCGGAACCCAAATTCAATTATCTGGCTACGAACTCAATACAGCTGAAAAGAAATTTTGCTGCAACTGTTATTAATTACTGATATGTGACCAGAATTCTGCAATTTGTAACCTTAAATCTCTAAATGTTAACATTAACGGAGATTGAGACGACTGTAAATGGTTAAATTTGTAATGAATTTGGTTTTTAGGGATGAAGAGATGTATTTTAAGGAGTTCGGTCACGAATGGAGTTTCAAAGCTTGATTTTAGGTATTTATGGAATCTCGAAACTAATTTGAATAAACGGAATCTTTTATATATATACACGTATATATAAAAGATTCTCTGAGATTTGAAATATAAAACTTATTATCTTAAAAGTAAAATGAAGCATACTAAATGTCTGAGTTTTGAATTTTTCCCTTATTATTTTCCTACCATTTGCTGGTCATTTTATAGCTCCTTTCTTTCACATTTTTTCCTTCCTAGTTTTAATGTGGACTTAATTAGCATTACAAATGGAACACCTTCAAGCCTTTTACAACTTGTCGGGTTGAGATGTTAGGTGTTTGTTTAAAATAAATAGAAAAAAAATGATGATTTAGCTAGAAGATAGACCTTTCTATTATTATTGCAGACGATGAATAATTTTTTGGTAGATGAATGCATTTAATTATGTTAAAATTCACAGAGATATAGTGAATTTACTTAATTAAATAGAATTGAATTTGTTTTAGATTGATTTTTAATTGAATTTGAGAAGTTCGATCAAACACACACGTTAATTATCTTTGACTTCGTATGATAAGTTAAGTGGGAGAGTTATGGTGAAATCCTGAGTGCTAGAGCTTCTTCACATCGTTTTAATTCAACTAGTTAGTTAATCATAGCTTGAACTTTAGAATATATATTAGAATAAAACTCATTTCCATGTTTAACTTTTATCACTGGTTCAAATAAATACTAGAATTAATTTAAGTCCATAATTGGTAATACGATTCTTATAGGAACGATAGTCGAAACTCCTTAGGTTTAGTTCACTACGAGTTTGACGACATCGATATCGTACACTTAGAATCCTAGTAGGATTGTCCATAATCCATATGCAATTCTATAACTACGATGAAAATACAAAGCAAATTCAGCCGCCATGTATCATATATTTGAATTGAAAATGTCAAGATTGATTTATTGAAATGTATTTGGGTAATTGACACTTTAAATTGGAGATTGAGGAGTGGGATATCTCAAAATCAAACTCATTAATTCACTGGTCTTGCAACTCAATTAGAAATTCAATAAATGTTTTGAAGACGATCTAACCTATGTGGTACTACAATAATATGATCACGTGCGTCATTAAATGTTAGGCTCGCTATAGATACTATTCAAAGAGACGTCGTAAGATTCGAGAATAAATCTTCTCCAACTCGAGGCGAATGATGAAGTATAAATATGGTTCTAGTATTCCATTTCCTTAGCCTCCAGTTTGAAAGCATTTTATTAATGGTTCCTAATTCAGTAAAAATTGAACATTAATTTCATCTGAGCATTCATAATTGTACTCATTATTATTAATACATTTAGTGGGATTCACCACTATTCTTCTTACTGTTCGTATTTAATATTTATAAACTGCCGAACGGAGTAAAATATTTTGAAGATGAGAAGATGTCAATATATTTTTTTGACACTTCGACTCATTACATGCTAAAAGGAGATTTTTTCTTTAAGGGTCCGTTTGATTGCAATGGTGGAAAATTGGTGGAAAGAAAATGTTTTATAGGGAAAAGATTTTCCTAGAAAATGTTTTACTAGGAATTGTAATTAAGCGTGTTTGATTGATATAATTTTCCACCTGGAAAATTTTTAAAAGTTTGGATTTTTTGTTCACATTTGACTTTATTTTACATGGAAATGTCCATTAAAAATGAATTCTTTTTTACAATTGATTATGAAATTTGTTAACATTGACAAAAAGTAAAAAAAAAAAAAAAAAATTTGCTCGAAAACTATTTTTTCATCAAAATTTAGTGTTTGTTTGATTTCATTTTACATGGTAATTGTCTTTTAAAGTAAAAATTTTTTTCACGTGGGAGGAGGGAGAGGGGAAACTTTTTCCTGGCTAAATTTTACCTATCAAACAACTCTTTTGCATGGAAAAGGAAAATGTTTTCCACTTTCCATGGAAAAGAGAGGCTATCAAACATAGCCTAATAGATTATAAAAATGAGTGTTCAAAGTCAATGGTCCTAACAAGAAGGTAGATTTAACAATGTGTTCAATGTGTATCATTCGCCGGCACCTTTGGTTATGCAGCTCCAGGTATGAATCTAATCTTGTAAAATGAAAATCAAGAATTGTGATCTTTTATATATCTCACATTATCTGCTCTCTTTTCACTTCTTTATATGGTAACAGAGCTTGCATTTACTATGGAATTCAATGAGAAGTGTGATGTATATAGCTTTGGTGTGTTGGCATTAGAAGTCATCTTGGGAAAACATCCTGGCGAGTTCATCTCATCTATTTTTACTCCTCCATCGCAATTCGCACCCTCGACATCTACATCACCAAGAATTTCAACAGTCCATGACATATTTTTGAAGGATGTCCTCGATCAGAGACTTTTTAAGCCCTGCAAGGAAAATCTCTAGCCACTTGTTGCCAAGTTCTAGAGCTCATTGAAGCGACCAAAATTCCCGTAGGACACAAGGGCGTTTTCCAACGGGAACGTACAAAAAAATTATAAGAAAAGGAACTCCAATCGTTCCGAGTTTTAAAACGACTTAACACAACAATGTTTATGTGATTGATCTTCCTTAAGAGAACAGCAGTTCTTCTAAGTTCAATGCAGTGTACATCTTTGAGTATTTTCCTTCTGATGAATTTTCTCCTCCATTTATTCAAAAACGAACTCATCAAAATATTTGATTGTTCATATAGATATCCATCGACTTGTGACTTATTTTTAGGTCGATTTACACTTTACAGCATCAGGGAGTACCATGGCCGACCCTATTTTGTGACTCTATAAATATGAAGTTGGACCGAGCTTGAATCGGTCATTTACGAACAAAACATGATTTTTGACAAAATATGAAGTTGGACTCTATAAATATCTTTTTTTAATCAAATATTTATTTTTCTTGTGATTTTTAACTTGATTCTTGTTTGGTCTTACTTAAAATTTATTTAAAAAAAAAAATTAAATTAATCAAAATCAACAATTTGTTTATTTTAAGACACAACTATTTGTGGCACTCGTTACTCATAAAACACTCAAGCACGTGCTTAGTGACCCTCTATTTGGTATAAATTAAAATTAAATTTTTAGTAAATTTTGATAAAAATATAACTAAAAAATTGTGAAGTCAATAATTTTTCGAAGTCATCTACTAAGAATTGTGAATCTTGTTCGATTAAGATGCACTTGACAAAGTATGTTCATAATTATCACACGTTGGGTCATTTTGCACATTCTAATCTTTATTCATTAGTTGAGTCTCGTTTCAAGTAGTTGCTATTACACCTCCAGTATTATGAACATACTTTGAAATTTAATTCATGTGCTCTAAAACTTTGGGTACATGGAGATGGAGGAGGGGGAGGAGGAGAAGGTGGTGGTGGTGGTGGTGATGGTGGTGGTGGTGGAGGAGGAGGAGAAAGGTGGTGGTGGGATATTGGGGGTATAGAAGGATGTATTTTCCAAGATTAATAAATTTACACTTCCCTCAAGAGCACAATTATGTTCTAAACTGTTGCGTTTGGGGTGAGAGGAGAGTTCGAAAATTTGAATAAAAATGAAAAAAATTGTAGTTAATGCGTGTATAAATCAAATGGATTAAATTAGTTGTACATTTCTAGTGTACATTATGTTTGACATTTTGTGATGTGTAGCGAGCTATACCGTTGATTTGAATAAGTGTGGTTAAAATTAATGATCATGATTCATGTCAAACAATATCAATCTTAGATTCTTAATGTTAATCACAATGTACATGTAGCAGAATTGCAAATCAAATAATAGATTATTTGCGTATTTTACATAATTATGAACATACTTTGTCAAGTGCATCTTAATTGTGAAGTCAATTAAATTTTTCGTTTCAAGAAATCAAGTTTTTTCCAAATAATTATTGAATAAAGATTTTTTTGTTTTATACTTGGCAGAATTTCGTCGGCAATTGAACAAAAAATATCTTCTTTAGTTTTGCCACCTTAAAAATCCTGGCAAAAGCACATGTACAAGCAGCTTAATAAAAATCGAAGTTTTGTAAAAGTAAACAAATTCTGCTGCTCTCTGGTAGTTTCTTCATTTTTTATATAATTTCTTTCTTACAGGAATTCATTCCCTGGTAGCCTTCAAGGACTGATTTCTTGAGCATCAGATTCCATGAATCCTCTCAAAACGTTGAAGTCATGCTTTAGACCAAATCAGAAGGAAGAAATATCAGTCGAGTTCTTGAAGAACGGTGGCGAACTACTGGAGGATCTTATTGCATCTTTTGATGGACGCCATAGAATTCCAATCGTTAGCTTCTCTGCCAAAGAGCTAAAGTCTCGCTGTTTGCTGAAGCACGTTTGTGTGCATATCAGTGAAAATGGTTATTTATTTAAAGGATGTTTGGGAGAACGCCCAGTTTTAGTGAAGATGTTCCGTGAGGAACTAATCAGTCACCGGCAAAATAATGGGGCCATCCGTGATATAGTGATTACATCACAAATGAGCCATCTCAAAAATGTATTAAAGCTTATAGGCTGTTGCCTGGAATTCAAATACGCGGCGATGGTATATGAAGATGCTGGAATTGAACTTCTTAGTGATCTACTTTACTCGAACTGCAATATTTTTTTCCCCTGGAAAAGCAGACTCAAAGTCGCAGCTGATATTGCATATGTAATTGCCTATCTCCATGCTGCATTTCCCAGGCCTGTGATCTATAATAGAGAGCTAAGGACAGATAAAGTGATCATCGATCGATTTGGTGTTACTAAATTGTTTGACTTCTCAAACTCAGTAATGCTTCCTCCTGGAGAATTCCAGATGAAAGATGTTTTGTTAGTGGATTGTATAAATATGGACCCTGAGTATGCAAAGTCAAAAACTCTTAACCACAAAACTGATGTCTATAGTATTGGCTTGCTTTTACTCATTCTCCTGGCTGGACAACAATCTATATGGCCACATCCGGTAGATGAAATAGTCAGAATCAGTAAGTGCGACACGGGCTTTTTGCAGAAGGATCAATTAAGACATTATGTAGATCAGAAAATTACAGAAGAAGGGGGGAATGAAGCAGAGATGCAATTGCAAGATTTCCTAGATATTGCTCACAGATGCATCCAAGTGAAGGGAAAAGATAGGCCAGATATGATGACTGTTGCTAAAGCGCTGCGGAAAATCGAGAAGTCAGGTCACCGTTCCTAGCTTGCTTGGTTCCATTAGAATTCACTGTCTATGTCAGGTCAAATTTGTAACCAATAACAACCCTCTCCTTGCTAGTGACTTGATTATTACGGTTGTAACAGTTGGTATTGAAGCGGGCAGTAGGCATGTACCCTTATAGATTTGTGGATAGGTGACTCGGGGAAGGATATTCCACAAAGTCACCCAACTAGAAATATGAATTGTTGTGGACATCAATTCTTGAAGGAGGAGTTAATTGTAACGACTGTAATTGTTTCCATCGCTAAGTTTAGGGTGAATTCTATTAATCTTTGGTAGTTGCTTGCTAGATCTACTGGGACATCTAATACAACTAGATATTATCAACTAAAACTAGTCGTCTTAATTTTGTCTCCCTCGTATGACTTGCTCTGCCAAAATCGTGTTACTCCTATACATGGGAGAATTTTAGATCGACACATAATATCATCCCATTATTCCACATAGTTTGCCACATCACCAATAATCCATCATCATAATCATAAATAACATTATTCCTTTACATTAGAACAATTTCAATGTAATCCAAAACATTTTCATTTTATCTTTATTTAAAATGTTTCTGTTCTTCCTACGAGTAGTCATATGATCTTCGTTTATGGAATACTGCAAGAATGATAATTTTCATCCTTGCATCATATAGAACAGAGTTAACAATATAAACCTTACTCACGTTCCTGTAAGAAGATAAAGATACCTACCAAAAACATCGACAAAAGATGTAATGAGCTGCAATGATATGATGTTGGATTTATAGGTCAAACAAAATCACAAGTTAAGCAACAATATCCACTATGTAGATTAGTTTAAGTAATTGAAATAAATTAGTAGATGTTCTTGTTGTTGAATATTTTCCTAACATTTGGCAAGAATAGCATTTTCACCAATTACTGGACCGAAAGTTTGGTCATGTCATTGGCCTAAACTCATCAGAATTCACATGCTCACTTTCTCTTTACAGGAATGAATCAATTGACTCAACGAAAAGTTGTAAACAAACTCAGAATTGTGAAGGTAAGTAGTATGGATGGTAAAAGAGTGAAATGAAAGCATAGGTGTCCACTTTATTACTCATTTGTTTGCAAGTGTCTTTCTTGCACATGGAACCATTNATATGTATATGGATGGAACAAAGTTTGTGGGATTTAACTGGGGTGGCCAAAAGAAAGCCACCCATTGAATATCACATAGATATGGTTGAGAATTTGAAAATTTTAAGTTGACACTTCGAAAATTTAAATGAGATATTTTCAATGTGATATGTATTGGGTCATTCATGCGTCTTTGAGTAATGCTCGATTATACAATTAAATATTTGATTTCTGGATATAAAATAATTACTTGGTAAATTATTCTTGTGATAAAGTTTTACCACATCTTACTAAACCCCTGTTTGTCTACCATTTTTCAAAACATTGTTTTCTACAGTAATCAATCTCCACCACACATTCAAATAATAACATATTTTACACATAAATCGATAAAATTTCTTTCAATTTTAAGAACAGACATATTTTTCAAGACATATTTTTGAAGGATGTCCTCGACCAGAGACTTTTAAGCCCTGCAAGGAAAATCTCTAGCCACTTGTTGCCATGTTCTAGAGCTCATTGAAGCGACCGAAATTCCCGCAGGACTCAAGGGCGGTTTCCAAAGGGAACGTACAAAAAAATTATAAGAAAAAGAACTCCAATCGTTCCAAATTTTAAAACGACTTAACACAACAATGTTTATGTGATTGATCTTCCTTAAGAGAACGGCAGTTCTTCTAAGTTCAATGCAATGTACATCTTTGAGTATTTTCCTTCTGATGAATTTGCTCCTCCATTTATTCAAAAACGAACTCATCGAAATATTTGATTGTTCGTATAGATATCCATTGACTTGTGACTTATTTTTAGGTCGATTTACACTTTACAACATCAGGGATTACCATGGCCGACCCTATTTTGTGACTCTATAAATATGAAGTTGGACTGAGTTTGAATCGATCATTTACGAACAAAACATGTTTTTTATCAAAATATGAAGTTGGACTCTATAAATATCATATTTTTTTATCAAATATTTATTTTTCTTGTGATTTTTAACTTGATTCTTGTTTGGTCTTACTTAAAAGTTATTTAAAAAAAAAAGAAATTAAATTAAACAAAACAAGATCAACAATTTGTTTATTTTAAACCACAACTATTCGTGGCCCTTGTTACTCATAAAACACTCAAGAACGTGCTTAGTGACCCTCTATTTGGTATAAATTAAAATTAAACTTTTAGTAAATTTTGATAAAAATATAGTTAAAACATTGTGAATTCAATAAAATTAATAATTTAAAATTAGTTGTTAATTTTAATTTAAAAATTTTATCTAAACCAAACTGAGGTTAAATGAGTTGAGTAATGCTATTCATCCCCACTGTGGATGGAAACACAGTCTAAGTGGCGTTAAATGATAGGTTAAATAATTTCACTTTTCATTTAATCTATCATTTAAAGACACATAAACTGTGTTTTCATCCCCACTGGAGATAAATAACATTACTCAATTAAGTTTTAGAATGAATAACAATTTTATTCCTAAGCTGTCATCCAGACATAAGTGAGTTTTTTACTTAAAAATAAAAAAATGTCATTTTTAAAAAAAATTACTTTTTGCATATATTTAAGCTTAGGCAAACACGGTGCAGCGAAAATTGAGGCTCAGATCTGTATAATTCAGCGAAGAGGGAGAGAATGTAACCACGCCATGGCTGCGAATCTCCGGTTGCAAGATATAAACCCTAATTTCATGCCATCCGGGTCGCCATGCCAAGATACGGGTCGATTTATCTCAATCCCCAATCGGATTTAGCTCAGCAAAACAAAAATAGAGAGAAAAAATCATCACAGCCTCACAATCAAGAACAATAACTGAAGACGCCCCGATCGCACCCCCACAGCAACACGATAACCAAACAGACCCCAGAATGGGAAATAAGAAAAGAAAAAGAAAAAGAAAGATCAATGGGAAAGTGTCTGTATCTGTTTATATATATATATGTCTGTGTGTATTCACAGGGTTTATCCTTTGCATTTAAGGGCTGTTGGTTTAATTGAATCGAGAAATCATAGGCAAAAAGGGAGTGGCAACCACCCTTGGAGAAATCCCATCTCTCCCTGTAGCCTCATTCTTGATGCTGAGCTAATGGATCTTAGGGATGGATCAAGGATTTTGATTTATAATCGGCTAAATTACAGTCACTATCCTCAACTTTTGACACTTCTGAATCGAACCTCGTGCCTTTTAGTTTTTTCTCTTTGACCCTCACATTATTTTTTTCATTCTCTTTCTTTTACTTATTTTCAACCATATATTTTCTAATAAAATAATATTTTTCATCACATGAATAACTTTTCCTTTATTTTTAACCACATATTCTCCATTACATCACTTCAAAAAAATGTATTATTTCATTTTAATGTGCACCAAACAGGCTCTTTATCTTGAAATAAGAGTACAAAATTTTGTTACAAGACATTTTTACCTCTATGTTAAATAAATAATAAAGAGGAGACAATACGATAGCAAAAAAAATGGTTCTTTCACATTGCCGCCGGTCAAAATCAACCACTCCGTTGTTTCCTGGTCTCCTCTTAAAAATCCTGGCAAAAGCACATGTACAAGCAGCTTAATAAAAATCGAAGTTTTGTAAAAGTAAACAAATTCTGCTGCTCTCTGGTAGTTTCTTCATTTTTTATATAATTTCTTTCTTACAGGAATTCATTCTCCAACTCGTGATATCTTAGAGCTATTAACGTGTTATCTAACAGCTCAACATCTGACTCGAACCCTCCTACATCAAAAAGGAAAATGTTTTCCATTTTATGAGAGGCTATCAAACATAGCCCAATAGATTATAAAAATGAGTGTTCAAAGTCAATGGTCCTAACAAGAAGGTAGATTTAACAATGTGTAGTTTGGACCAAAACATATATATTATTGGTTGTTCCTCACCTGCTGCGGGAAAAACTACGAAAAAAGGGAACTGGTCACTCTGACTTGGAGATTCATTAAAAAAATTTCTTAGATGTTAACTAGATCATTCAACAATTTATAATTTAAACATAAAAAAGCTTGTATGTATCAGCAATTCTAGTCATACTTAGCTGTAGCATGGATGAAACACATAAGGTCAGAGGTCATAATTTGCAATGTGATGCAATACCTGACGTCGAATGTGCAAGTTCTAGACGAGCTGAGGACAAAAACACGACGAAAATACGATAGCATCCAGCTAAGTGATGATGCACTTCTGGTTTATAAATAACTAAGTCGATTTTTCCCCTCTTGTTTGTACCCAAAAACTGCCTTTCACTACTTATATTAATCATACAACCATGAGTCCACCTACAGTATATAAACCATTCTCTTACAAGTTCTTTTCTCTACTTATTATCATGGAAATCCTTCATCCTGTATCGAGTTCAACTTCCTATCTTGATGCGCCGAAAAAAAGTGTTGATTCTGAATCAGCAACTCTTTTAAAATGGAAAGTTAGCCTTCAAAACCAAACCCAGTACCTCCTAAGGACGTGGAGAGTAGAAACCACCCCATGCCAATGGGTCGGCATTCACTGTGATACTGGTGGAAGGGTTTCCTATCTAAACCTCTCACATAGTGGCATAAGAGGTACACTTGAAGATCTCAACGTTTCATTGTTACCAAATCTACGCAGCCTTGATCTTTTTAACAATTCAATCTACGGGACGATTCCATCAAATATTGGCAACCTTTCTAAACTTTCTTATCTCGACTTGTCAGAAAATCATCTGTCCGGAACAATACCTCCAGAATTAGGCCTTCTAAGAAATGCCAAGACTTTTTACCTAGACCACAATAATATCAGTGGCTCCATCCCCCAGGAAATCTGTTTTCTAAAGCACGTTATTGATCTCAGTTTGAGTTCTAACATTCTGACAGGTACAATCCCGACTTGTATTGGGAACATGAGCAACTTATCCAGTTTATTTCTTTACCAGAATCAAATCTCTGGAACTATTCCTTCATCCATTACCAACTTAACTAAACTTTCTTGGCTTAACCTCTATGTTAATCAATTATCTGGTCCCATCCCTCGAGAGATTGGAATGCTAAGCTCTCTTCAAATTCTCCGCCTCTATACAAATAAGCTATCAGGAACTATTCCTTCTACTATAAACAATTGTACAAAACTTGCTAATCTGCATTTAGGTGATAACCAATTATCTGGTCGAATCCCCTCCGAACTAGGAAGCTTGAAGTTCTTATCTGATCTGTTATTGTTCATGAACAATTTCAGTGGCAGCGTTCCTAAAGAGTTCGATAATCTAACACATCTGACAAACTTGTCTTTAAGTGTTAACCATCTCACTGGTAATATGCCACAAAATGTATGCGTTGGTGGAAAGCTCAGATTTTTGTCACTCCACACCAACAATTTCATAGAGAATGCCCCGAAAAGTTTGAAAAATTGCACTACCTTACATACTTTTCTACTCTATGGAAACCAAATCATGGGAAACTTATCGGAAAATTTTGGTATATACCCAAACTTGTTCTACATTGATGTTAGTCGCAATAATCTATACGGCGAGCTGTCTTCAAATTGGGGCATTTCCCCTCTTCTAGTAGGCTTGTTGATGTCCCAAAATAATCTTTCTGGAGCAATACCACCTCAGCTTGGCGATGCATCTCAACTACAAGTGCTTGATCTGAGTGTGAACCAATTAACTGGACGTTTTCCAAAAAGTTTACTAAATTTGAAGCTATTGAATTTGTACTTGAATCACAACGGACTTTCAGGTAACATACCATCACAATTACATGAAATTTCAGATGTTGACTTGGCAGCAAATAAGTTTTCTGGTTCGATTCCGAAAGAAGTAGGAGATTGCACAAAACTGATACACTTGAACTTGTGCAAAAATGTACTCACAGGAAGTATTCCTGCAGAGATAAGAAAATTGAAATCTCTAGAAAATCTTGATCTCAGTCAAAATTCACTATCTGGTACAATACCACAAGAACTTGGCGGGTGTCGAAACATTGAGATGATGAATCTTTCACACAACGAGCTTTCAGGTTCTGTCCCATCGAGTTTAAGCCAATGTCTGAGTTTAACTTACACTAATATATCATACAATCAATTGGAAGGGTCTCTTCCAAATATAAAAGCATTTCAGAATGCTTCTTTTGATGCTTTGAGAAACAATAAGGGCCTGTGTGGGAATGTTGTTGGTCTAAAGAATTGCTCTGTGCTGATAAGTAATAATGCTGAAGAAAGAAAAAAAAGAAGAATTTTGGTACAAATTGTATTTCCCGTGTTGGGAGGTCTGTTACTTTTGATTGTGATAATTTGCATTTTCTTAATTTCACGGTCGAGGAGAAAGATTGTCGAAGATGATCCGAAAACTCCAACAAAATTGTTTGCTATTTGGAGTTTCGATGGGAATATGGTGTACGAAAACATCATTGAAGCAACAGAGGATTTCAGTTCGAGACACTGCATTGGGGTTGGAGGATGTGGGAGTGTCCATAGAGCTGAATTGGACGGCTATGTCGTTGCTATAAAGAAACTACATGCATCAGATGGTGCAGTAGTGAATCAAAAAAATTTTACAAATGAAATTGAGGCATTGACAAAAATACGGCATCGCAATATTGTCAAGCTTTTTGGTTTTTGTTCTCACTCACGACACTCGTTCTTGGTTTATGAGTTCTTGGAAGGGGGAAGCCTGGCAAGTATACTCGGCAATGATGAAAAGGCAATAGAGTTTGAATGGAACAAGAGGGCGAATGTTGTTAAAGGAGTTGCAAATGCATTATCTTATATGCACCATGACATTTCGCCTCCCATTGTTCATCGTGACATATCAAGCAACAATATTTTGTTAGACTCCGAACACGAGGCTCACGTTGCTGATTTTGGGACTGCGAAAATATTGAAACCTGACTCATCCAATTGGGTATCATTCGCCGGTACCTTTGGTTATGCAGCTCCAGGTATGAATCTAATCTTGTAAAATGTGATTCAAGAATTGTAATCTTTTATACATCTCCACATTATCTGCTTTCTTTTCACTTCTTTATATGGCGACAGAGCTTGCATTTACTATGGAATTCAATGAGAAGTGTGATGTATATAGCTTTGGCATGTTGGCATTAGAAGTCATCTTGGGAGAACATCTGGGCGATTTCATGTCATCTATTTTTACTCCTCCATCGCAATTCGCACCCTCGACATCTACATCAAGTATTTCAGCAGTCCATGACATATTTTTGAAGGATGTCCTCGACCAGAGACTTTTAAGTCCTACAAGGAATGTGGCTGAAGAAGTTGTGGGCGTTGCCCTGCTAGCATTAGCGTGCATCAATCCCACTCCTCAACTTCGACCAACCATACAACAAGTTTCTGTGCAACTGTCAAAAGAAAAGGCAGCTTTTAGAAACCTACTTCCTCTTATTACAATAGGCCAACTGCTTAATCATGAATTTTCAAGTGCCCAATAGCGCTACGACAACACTGTAATATATGACATAAAAATTTACATTTTCAGTGTCCTATTTGTATTGGAATTGTCCCACGTCAATCTTGGAAAAACTCATCCTCAAATTTGGTTGAAAAGAGAGAATTAATCAATCAACAGAAAAAAAATATCCAGATTTTCTGAATTCGAGCCTAACTTGGACTCGAGGAAGATCTCTAGTCACTTCCAACGGGAACGTACCAAAAAATTAAAAGAAAAGGAACTCCAATCGTTCCGAGTTTTAAAACGACTTAACACAACAATGTTTATGTGATTGATCTCCCTTAAGAGAACGGCAGTTCTTCTGAGTTCAATGCAGTGTACATCTTTTGAGTATTTTCCTTCTGACGAATTTTCTCCTCCATTTATTCAAAAACGAACTCATCGAAATATTTGATTGTTCGTATAGATATCCATTTACTTGGTGACTTATTTTTAGGTCGATTTACACTTTACAGCATCAGGGATTACCATGGCCGACCCTATTTTGTGACTCTATAAATATGAAGTTGGACCGAGCTTGAATCGGTCATTTATGAATAAAACATGATTTTTAACAAAATATGAAGTTGGACTCTATAAATATCATATTTTTTTAATCAAATATTTATTTTTCTTGTGATTTGTAACTTGATTCTTGTTTGGTCTTACTTAAAAGTTTTTTTTTAAAAAAAAAATTAAATTAAACAAAACAAGATCAACAATTTGTTTATTTTAAGCCACAACTATTTGCAGCCCTCGTTACTTATAAAACACTCAAGCACGTGCTTAGTGACCCTCTATTTGGTATAAATTAAAATTAAATTTTTAGTAAATTTTGATAAAAATATAATTAAAGAATTGTGAATTCAATAAAATTAATTTGTTAATTTTAACTTGAAAATTTTATCTAAACCAAACTGGGGTTAAATGAGTTTTGGAATGAATAATAATTTTATTCCTATGCTGTCATCCAGAAATAAGTGAGTTTTTTACTTTAAAATAAAAAATGTCATTTTTAAAAAAAAT